CCCCCCTTATTCCTTCAACCACTTTTTCCTTCATCCATATCTAATCTAAACCAGAAAGCTTCTGTTTCAACCACTAACACTGGAAAAAGTTGCACTGCTTTCCAACACTTCATGAAATGCTTCTTCTGCACAGTGTTCTAATGGCTTACATTTAGTCTGGTACCTACAGCTGCAACAGTGGTTCCATGACTGCTGGTGTGGATCTATGGAGCTGGGCTGATCACGTCCACTTTTTTCCTTTGTTCTCCCCTCCCCCACAATGATATGTCCTGAGTCTGCACAACTGTCTGTCCAAAAGTCCAGCCAAGAATTACAGCTTTTGGCTGAGAAGGCAACATCTCAGTTAAAACAAGATAACTTCTGTGTTTACAGAAATGTGCTCAGGTGAAATTTTGAATCCAGGTCTTGTCAAATCTCTCATCAAAAGTAAATATTAACTGAAGATACCGCAGATAAAGAGTGAAGTTTGAGCCTCAGAAAGCATTTGTTTGTTCAGGAAGATACATGATTTAAAATCACGTATCGCATGTCATTACAGTGACTGAGGGGGAAAATAAGGCCTGAAAACGGGCACAGGAATCCTGATGCATGGCTAACCCATGCCTGTTCATTGCAATGCAGGCAGCACACACAGGCTCATGACTATGATTGTAATGTGCAACTTGGGCCTAAATGTATTGCTCAGTGACTGCACATTTCAGTAAAGAGTCCAGGTTTGTGCAAGACTAATTAAAGTGAGCCTGCAATATTTAAAGCCAAACTGAAACTGTTAAAAAATGAGGTATATTTTGGCTGGCTGTAGTAGTTGCTGCAATTAGCTGGGGAAGGGTGTCTGCATTGCAACAAAAGATCAATAGCAGGGCAGAGAGTGAGCTGCAACATTTTCAAGCACAGCAGTAGAGGCCTTGTTGTAGGGGATGGAGAAGAAAATTTTTTATCCACAGGGGACTGTAGGTTCTCCAGAAACATACCGAGAAGGCAGTAATCACAATAACTGTAGTGGTCAATACCAGTAGTCAATGGACTAGTGTAGCGTGCAGGAAGAAGTTCAATCATCTCATGCCTAGTCAAAGCCAATGAATACAGCTTCAGATAGAAAATCCTCAAAAAAAAATGAACCACTAGCTGTACTAAACTTTGGTTGCACATGCATGGAGTTGTGCACGCGGTTCTGATTGACATATTATAAAAAGATGCAGAGGTACCAAGGATTTGGAGGCATGCGCGGAGAATATTTGAAAGTATGATACCAGAAATGTATTAGGGAAGAATTCATGAGAGGGTCTCCTCTCATGGTACAAAGAAAGCTGAGGGTGAGTTTTTTTTTCCCTTTAGTAATTAACAGGATGAGGATATTGCTGGCTAGGCAGCTTTTTTTGCCCACCCCTAATTGCCCTGAGGGCAGTTCAGAGTCAACCACATTGCTGTGGGTCTGGAGTCACATGTAGGCCAGACCAGGTAAGGATGGCAGTTTCCTTCCCTAAAGGACATTAGTGAACCAGGTTGGTTTCTCTGACAATTGATTCCTGCTCATCATTAGATTCTTAATTCCGGACTTTTTTTATTGAATTCAAATTCTACCATCTGCCATGGCAGGATTTGAACCCGGGACCCGGGTCTCTGGATTAACATTCCAGTGATAATACCACTAGGCCGTTGCCTCCCCTGTGTCAAGCCTACTGGAGGTTTTTAAAAGTTTGAATTATTTTGATAGAGTATCTAATTAGAGAATGTTTCCTCCCATAGGGAAGATCATACCTTACAGTCATCAATATAAGACAGTCAAAACAAATTCAATGGTACTCAGAATATGATGTCACTATAGGGAGTGGATAGAAGTGAATAGTATAGATAGATGTATTTAAAGCAAAATTAAACAAAAATATGTGATGGAGTTGGAAATAGATGACATTGTAGTAGATTTGAATGACAAAAGATGCATAAACACTGGCATGAACTGGTAAGGCCAAATGCCCTGCTTCAGTGTTGTCCATTCCATGTAGCCTCCTATACTTTATTCACTTCATTTAAAGCATAACTCACATTCATAGCTTCAGTTTAGCGTGAAACACATTGCACTGCTCCAAGCCGCACAGTTTGCAATTTACACGTGCTGCAAGCTATTCAACTGTAACAAGTGCATCATCCCTCAAGCACATTGCACCACAGTCACTGACACACCTCCTTGTCTTTCAAACTAAAGTGATACTTGACCATAGATAGAAAGAGTTTATGCAATCTCAGCAAGTGCAGTAGGTAAGACTGAGACTGTGGTCATCACATCTGTGGATACAAGTACTCAAAAGCGGCTCACAGTGCTTCACAGGAAGCTAGTAATTTTGCTCTAACAAGTAATCTAAAAGTTATTGATAATTCCTTTGTGTCTCTTTACAGATCAGGCCTGATCTTAATGAATGACAGAGCAGGTTTGAAAAGCTGAATGACCTACTTCTGTTCTTAATTTGTCTGGCTGGTAGAAAGCATCGACTACTGCGGTGAGGGCAAAAATGGCAGAGCTGCCAACAAATCAGCCTTACACTGCCTACTCTGCATAGTTCTGGTGCCCATTCCTAATATCAGTGCTAACACCCCTACCAATACAAGTGTTGGAGAAGTGAATGAGCTTAGCGCAGATGGCACTTTGATGCTAATCTGTAATCAAAGCACTGGGGAGCTGAATTTTACAAGCACTCTGTACGATTGTCAAGTTCTTGAAAACTTTGTGTTCTAGTCCGTTAACTGAGTTCATGACTCTTCGTAAAACTATTATGCAATGTTAACAGACTGGTTGGAGGGTCACATTATCACAGGATAATCAGTCACTCGCTGGCCTTGAGACGTTTTGTCCACATGCTGTTTTTTCCGAATGCTGCATAATTAAAAAATCACGTTTCAAAATAGCTGAGATTTTGTTTTCAAATTCTTCTGCATTTTTATTTGTCCCCATTCTCTGATGTCCTTCCTTCTACAACATTAACTTCAATCTGAGAAGATGAATAGTGATATGGAAGTTTTACTCAGCTGGCCATTTAGCTGGAATCTCCCAGTGATTTCTCTTTCTTCCCTTCAGCAGTGACTAACATCATTTGGACTGGGAACTCAGCAGCTGGTTAAGGGTTTAAACGACATTCTATTCCACTCCTCCGCAACGCTGTAAAAAAACTGCTTAGTGGGTGGAAAGGAAAGCCTGAAATTCTGTCATCTAAACAGCAGGTGGTCTGATTCTATTATTCTTTGAATCAAAATTAAAAAACGCAAACAGAACAATTACATTCTTTTTCATGACATATTACAGGACGCTTGCTATATACATGAAACATACATAATGAAACAGAAAATATTGTGTGTGTATATATATATATATAGGAAATATAAAATTATACATATGTAATTAAAGGCTTACATTATTCTGTACATACTGGTGCCATTGCTAATTTTACAGGTTCTGAACATAGTTCCATGGGCAATTTGGGTCAAGCATGAAAGTACTGCTGATTGGCAAAGGAGACCTCACTATCAGACACAGCCAACTTGGACTAAGATAGCAGCCTGGATCAGTGCAGTCCCCTGGGCGAGACACAATACAGCGGTACATGAAGAAACTAATGATCTTCTCTTCTCTGTAAGGCTAAGTGCCACCGTCTTCTCCCTGCTACCTCACCGTTCAGTCTAACTCTGACACTGCATATCGTTCTTACAAAAGCTCATAGACTACAGCTCTCACTAATGTACGCATCATATCCATTCGATGACTCTCACCCATCTCATCCCAAACTAACAACTCTTCTTGCCATCTTTCTACTCACTTACTGGTGTTATCATACTGTCTATCCTGGTCATGCACTAATGGCTGTCCCAACCCCTTCTGTTAGACTTAATTGCTCCTTCTATTGTATTACAGGTAAAATGTCTCACAACCAGAGCAAGATGGTAAAGACTGATGGGTCGTAGTAGATATAAAACTCCTCATGCCATATGAAGAAAAGATGTTATATTTAGCTGGTTAAGAATGTGACTTCGCATGTGGAGACATGGAGACCTCTGTGGGTGACTAAGCCAGTAAACTTCTGTCATTTTTCACTGGGGTGAAAGCAAGCCCTGCTATTTCTGCAGTCATCATAGAAGTTAAAGATTTCAACAAAGTATACAAACTTCCCTAATTTACTTGTATTTTTAAACCCAGGTTGTCAGAAAGCATGAACCAGGCTTCTGTACTTAGCAAGAATTCCTATTTATTAGAAATAAATTGATTTAAGTTGTAGGTAAATTACTATAATTGTTGCCTGTAGTCAAAACTCTAACTCCCTTTAAAAATTTCCCTTCCTCACATACAGATAACACCAGTTTTTGTGTCTATGGGAAAAGGGAAAATCTGAGAAGGTAGTTCAATGATCGCTATCCACAGAGTTCACTGTGATGAACCTTTTGATTGTCAGAACTTGCTGTTCATCAATCTTTCTCGCTCTCCTCAGATGTTTTCCACTTCCTTGCAGGAGGCACAGGGCAGCAGGCTCACAACTTATAAAGTATCCGACTTATTGGTTCAGACCAACTCCTTACAGTAACTGCTGAGGGGAAATAAATTGGCTTTGTTCAAGATTTAGGTGGTTTTTATTGCAGAGACAAGGACCCTTTCCAGAGGTCCAAAGGCTTCTAACCATCCCGTTCACACCCACAAGCTGTTCAGCTACCTGGGGCCAGTAACATAGTTGTTGGTAGGCAGAAGGTCTTTGTCATTGATAACTTGTCACCGCTTTACAGACCAATCAGCTACTTGTTGCCAGGCCAGTCTCATTTCAAATACACTCCCTCGGTCTTGTTCATCAGCAACTATACTTCTCCCACTGGTTGACCAAACAATAATGTAAAAAGCACTCACAAAATGTGGGGGTGGCTTGCTTTTAAAAAGTGCAGCAATCCTTTCCACAATCCTTCTCTTTTAAAACAGTCATTTTCCCATTTCAGTTCACAATCAAAAATATAGAAAAATGAAAGGATACCTTTTTTCACTTCATTGTGCTGTGCTATGCTGCACTCCCGTCACATCATTCCTGTGCACTGTCGGAAGTCAGGAATACTCCCAGTATCCAGGGTGAACACACGTGCAGCTGCAGCTACTTGAACCCTGTGTTTTGGATCTGGAGAAGCTTCTGAAATTACTGTGATGTATCCACAAGGCTGATATCTTTGTGAATAACACATACTCAGAGGTGACCACACCACAGGGAATGAAAGATAGAAAAACTGGAAGGCAGTGGAAACAAGGGCTAGCAACAAATAGTACATAAAAAGTGTAAATATAAAAAGACAAATCTAAAGGTATTATATCTGAATGCATGAAGCACTTGCAAGGAGTTAGACTAATTAACAATGTAAATATTTTTAAATGGGCAAGATATGATTGCAGTTACAGAGATATGACTGCAAGGATCAGAAGTGACAGTATTCAATCTTTAGGCAATATGGTCAAAAAGGCTAAGTAGGTGTTGTTAGTGAAAGATGAAAACAAGGCAATAGTGAGAAGCACATTGGCACAGAAAATCTTGGTGTAGAATGAGTCTGGGTGGAGCTAAGAAGCAACAAGTGATGGAAAACATTAGTGGGAGTTGTCTATAGGCCTCTAAATAGTAGTAGTAAGATAGCAGGTGGAAACAAACAGTAGATTAGAGGTGCATGCAACAAAGGTGTGACAGAAATAATGGGTGACTTTAATCCATATATAAACTGGGCTAACCACATTAGCAAAAACACTGTTTATGTGAATGCAATCCTCGAGTGCGTACAGGATACCTTTTTAGACTAATATGTTGAGGAATTAACTACAGTACAGGCTATCCTAAATTTGGTACCGTGTAATGAAAAGCATTTAATTTATCTTGTTGTGAGAGGTCCATTAAGAAAAAAACAGCCATAAAATGATAGAATTCTTCAATGAGATAGAAAGTGAAGTACCCCAGTCCAAAACTAGGATCATAAATCTAAGGAAAGGAAACTAAAAAAGTATGAGGCATCAATTGACTGTGACAGATTGTGCAACTTCAGTAAAAGGCAAGACAGTAGCTAGGCAATGCACATATTTAAGGCATGCATGCATTGCAACAGTCATACATTCACTTTGGGACCAATCATGGCTTAGAAAGGATATAAAGGATAGCATATGATTTGAAGAGAGATCATATAAAGTTTCTGGGAAATGTAGCAAACCTGAGTTCTAGGAACTCTTTAGAATTCAGTAAAGGATTACCACGAGGTTAATTAATAGGGGAAATGTACAATAAAAAGCAAACTTGAACGGAACATAAGATCCAACTATAAACTTCTATAAACACAAAAAGAAAAGGGTTAGTGAAAACAAATTAGGCTTTTTACAGTCTGAAACTGGAGAATTGATCATGGAGGTGGCAGAGGATTTTTAAGTGATTACTTTTGTTCTGTCTTCGCAGAAGAAGACACAACTTACCAAAAAGTTTAGGAATGTAAGGGTCTGGTGGGAAGGAGAAACTGAAGGAAATTATTATTATTGAAAAAAGGTAGAGAAAGCTCACAAATCTCCTGAGCCTAGCAATCTAAATCCCAGGGCACTAACGAGCTGTGGAAATAATGGATGCTTTGATTGTCAAATTCCAAAATTCTGTAGACTCTAGAACAGTCCTAGCTGATTGACGGGTGGGAAATGTAATCCCAATATTGAAAAAAGAAAGAAAACATCAGTGTAGAAAAAATGCTGGAATCTATTACAAAGGATGTGGTAGCAGGACATTCTGGATAATCCCATTGATATTTTCTACATCAACATGGATTTATAAAAGAAAATAATGTTTGCAAACTGTAATGGAAGTTTTCGAGGAAGTAATAGTAGACCAGACGATGGAGAAACAGTGGGCGTGGTATATTTGCACTGTGAATTTAGATTTTCAGAAAGGTAAATAATAGATAAAGTCCAAGATAAGAACTGAGTATGCCAAATCAAAGCACATGAGATTGATGGTGACATACTGGCATAGATTCAGAATTTGTTAGTTTGCAGGAAATGAGAATAGGAATAAATTGGTCTTTTTTTTATTCATTCACAGGATGAGGGCGTCACTGGCTAGGCAGCATTTATTGCCCAGAGGGCAGTTCAGAGTCAACCACATTGCTGTGGGTCTGGAGCCACATGTAGGCCAGACCAGTTAAGGATGGCAGTTTCCTTCCCTAAAGGACACTAGTGAACCAGATGGGATTTTCCTGATAATCGACAATGGATTCATGGTCATCATTAGATTCTTAATTCCAGATATTTTTATTGAATTCAACTTCCACCATCTGCATGGTGGAATCCGAACCCGGGTCCCCAGAACGTTATCTGGGTCTCTGGATTAACAGTCCAGCGATAATACCACCAGGCCATCGCCTCCCACTTTCAGAGTGGAAGGTGGTGATATTGAGTGATCTCAGGGATCAGTGCTTAGGTTATTCACAATATACATCAACAATTTAGATTAGGGAATGTACTCAAGTTTGCAGGTGACACAAAACCAGGTCGATTGTGAGAAGAATGTAAAAAGCCTTCAAGGTGATTGAAACAAGTTGAGTAAGTGGGTAAGTGTATAGCATGTGCAGTATAAGGTAGATAAGTGTGAAGCTGACGATTTGGTATAAAGACAGTGTTGAAGGGACTAAATTAAATTACACACCAAAGGTCCAGACTTCGAGGTAAAGAGATTTCATTTGTGATGTCATGGAGAGTCAACGCTGATAAAAGGTCAGGTCTGAAGGCACTGACAAGCACAAAAAAGAAGCAGAATTTATTCAGTGGTACAAACAAGTTAAAACAAACTGCAATTGTACTGTGTTTTAGCAAGGCAAGGTCATTACTTAGGCAACCAGACATAGATTAACTGAAGCAGAATGCAGTGAAGATAAGAGTGTACAGATGCTGCGAGCCCTAGCTTTTTGTTATCTGCCCTACATGACTTCTCAAACTAGGCAAAGGCAGGCTGCAGTTACAGCAATATGCAGTGTTTCATAAAGCTAAAGTTCCTCTACTTCGTGCTCCTAGCCATGTATTATTTTAACTCATTATTACTCAGTCTAAATTAAATAGTCTCAACATACAATTATTCCACAGACAGAATGGCTGTGTATTATTACTTTATGATAGATTGGGCAATGTTGAGTACAAAGGGACCTGGGTGTCCTTTTCAATGGTCACCAGAAGCAAACATGCATCTGCAGCAAGCAGTTAGAAAGGCAAATGGTATATTGTTGTTCTTTGAGTACAGGAACAAGGAAGTCTTATTGTAGCTGTACAGGGTCTAGGTGAGACCACTCCTAGAGTATTATGGTGCTATTTCATCTCCTTACCTGAGAAGGGTATATTGCTGTGGTTAGAGTGCAGCAAATGTTGACCAGACTGATTTCTGGCATGACAAGGTAAGGGGAATCTCATTGAAGCCTATAAAATTCTCAAATGAGAGGCTGAATGCAGGTACAATATTTTCCCTGGCAGCCGGTACAGAACAAGGGGTCACGGTCTCAGGAAATGGGCTCAGCCGTTTTGGACAGAAGTAAGGAGACATTTCTTCAGTCAGAGGGTGGTGCACCTGTGGAATTCTGTACCACAGAAGACAGTGGAGGACAAATCACTGAATGCATTATGGAGAGAAAGCAGCATATGGTGTTGTGACAGAGGATCAACCATGGTCATATGGAATGGGCTCAATGGGGAAAATGACCCAAACCTGTTCCCATTTTCTACACCTCTTCACACGATGGTGTTCCACAGATGGCAATGGCTGGTAAGCTGTGTTTGGGCTTCTGAGCTCATCTCCTCCCCAACACCAGGCCAGCAGCATCCTTCTTCCTCCTTCCTTTCTCTTTCAACTTCATCTTTTACTTCTTTTCGCTGCTTGACTCTCCTCATCATGGGGAAAGGGTCTAAACAAGTGCAACCACAGCAATGTGGTTGACTCTTAACTGCCTTCTGGGCAATTAGGGATGGGCAATAAATGCTGCCTAGCCAGCGATGTCCTCATCCAGTGAATGAATAAAGAAAAAAAATCCGGAGAAAATAGCACCTGTAACATCCCGGATACAGTTGTGGGTTGAGAAATTGTGGGATGCCACATTGGTGCCCAGATGCTCCCTGAAATCTGCCTCTGACATAAAACTCCAGTCAGCTGCAACCTTGGTGGCTTCACAGGATGGGATGGGAACATATTCCTTCTGAGCTCAGGTCCTGCTCCAGCAGGTGGCATAGTTCAACAAGAAGGGCCTAGAACTATCCTAGTCTGTGCTTGCACCGTACTTATAAGAGATACAGAAAATGACAATGAGGTCCATAGATAATGGGGTCTCTTCATTATTCTCCACCACCTTGATGGGTCGTCACCCAACGTTTCACCCTCTGGATGCTGTGCAACAGCTACTAGAGATTGCTATTCTTGCTGACAAATTTGTAATTGCTGTCTCTTTTGTTAGGCCTAGACCTCAGGTAGGTTCCTCAAGATATTACAGTTCAAGATGGGATACCCAAATTGCTTTTACATCTTTAAGGTATAACACTCACTAAGCGTCTGTCTCCAAGTAGTCACTTAACTTTTGGCTCTGTCAGCCCTTGATTAAAAATAAACACATTTTGGAATTACAAATTCAAAATGTTCAAAGTCTTTTGGGGTTCTGAACTGTTGTCATGACACCTTCTATGCTGACTTTGCCTGTGAGGCAAGGCCAGAAAGATCCCAACAACTGTTATGTCTATGTCAGATACATGAATCGATTATTCTGTGGGCAATGTCAGAAAGAGATCACCATTTTAGTAATAATATTATCAAGCTCACATCCATCACGATGAGGAAACACAACGTGCCCCAACGCAAATGCAAGGGAGCTCTCACAAGAAAGACAGTTAGGAACTCCGAGGGATGTAAATTTATTTGGATGTATGTCACTGATAGGAAACATTTGCGTTAAGCCACTAATGATAGCCTTTCTCCCAAAGAAACAACCCTTGAACATCACAGAATAAGTCCTTGCATGTTTGCTGTTCAGTGTGAGAATGCAGCACCTCCAAAACATTTTTCATTCAGTATCAGGGGTAAAACGTGATTCAGAAATGGCAAAAAAAAGTTAAAGGTTAAAGTTAGCAACTGATTAGCTTTGCTTATCTTACATGGTCAGATGGTGGCGGCTCCGCCCATTCTTATTACTTTTTTTCTCTCTTTTTCTTTTCCTCCTTTCTAAGATATTTTCAACTAATGACTTGGACTTACCCGAAGGGGGAAGGGAGGAGCTGGCGAGCCCCAAGAGGCAAATCCCGGAGCGGCAGCTAGCGAGGGGAAGTAGTCCTGGGCAGAGATCGGCGTAGGGAAGCAGTCCTGGAGCGGTGGCCAGTGTAGGGATGGATCCCCGGAAGAGTGGCCAACCAAGGAAAGCAGTCCTGGAGCGGTGGCTGGTGCGGGGAGTGACTTCCAGATAAAACTTGCGGTTGAAAGTCAGTGCAGAGCCGACTGGAGGCTTGGAGAGGAGAGGGGACAGTTGTTGGAATGGGGTCTGGTGTGGGCGGTCAGCCTATTTGTGGAAGCCTCTGTGCTGTGCTACTGCAATATAATGGTTGTTTGTAATTTGTTTATCTGACTGTAATGTCCATCCTTTTAACTATGTCTTATTTCTAACTTATTATGAATCACTGTAAACTAATGCAACTACTCTTTTTTTATTCCTCTTTTTTGTATCTGAGATCTGTACCTAGGTACTTATACCTAAGATGGTGCCATAAAGAGGCAACATTGTAAAACTTTTCACTGTACTCCTGTACTTGAGTACACGTGACAATAAAGGATATTCCGTGCTATTCTAACAAGAAAGAGGTAAGTTATGCAAGTAATGTATTGGTGATAATTACTTAAGGCCATAATTTGTCATGGTTATTCTTGGAAAAACATTTATTTGCCAATAAAATGTAATGTGATGCCTAACATGTGGCATTACTGAGTTAGTGGATTCATGACTAAAGCAATTGTACCTAGCTGGATCTCAAATTATTTTACTCGCTTTGAACAGAAAAAGAGCCAGTGAGAGACCATTCCAGAGTGTATAATGGATCACCAATTCCATGCATTACCAGAATCATACATTCCAATACACAAGCTCTTCATGGCATCCCAAAATCTCCTACCTGGAGTTTCCAACAGTTGAGCACTAGCTGGACTACCAGTATGCATAGATCTCAATATTTTCACAACTGCTGAGAATTCGTAAACACCCTTTTCATGCAGCCGAACAGGCTGTATCCCAGGTCAGTTAGCATGCCTTCTTAGCACTCACTCACTTTGCATCTACTTTGATGCTCACAGCATCTCTTCCTTGCCTTGCCTTTTTGCACATTTTTGCATCATTCAGAACTTGCAGCTTAACAATACTTTTGTCCTGCCTTGCCTTTTAGCACAGCCAGACAGTTTGCCGTGGTTGCCAGCAGTGGTCAGTCGAGGGGGTTACGTATATGGCACTTCATTTATGAACGTTTCAGCATATGCTGACAACTTTTGTGTCAAACATACTAAATGTACTTCTGCCAAATGGCCACATTTCAAAGTCTAAGGGGAGTAGTACTCAGTCAAAAAAGGGGGGGGGCTGACATCCCACCCCAGCCAGTTCAGTCTGATCTCAGTCAGTCCATGAGTTTGGACACAGTCAGTCAGCGATTTGGGGCAGTTGGGGTCAGGGGTTCCATAATATTAAAGTCTGGGGAATGTTATTACAGTGCACTCCCGACAGAGTGCACCACACAATCCTTGCCTGCTTTGGCCTGCGCAACTGGAGCAGAGAAAGGGGGATGCCATGGACACTGAAGAGCTGGGAGAGTGGCACCTGTCTCTGAGGAGGAAGATGAGGACACTATGCAGGAGAAACACTACCTTCAGCCTGATGGAGCAGTGTTTGATGCAGCAAGGCAGACAAGCATTAATTAGTACACAGTTCAAAGAGATGTGAGTAGGGTGATTTCAACATGTACTGACTGTAGATTTGTTTTTTGTTCAAAAGGCAAGCAGACCCTGTTTATTCCCAGAAGCAAATAAAAATGTTTTTGTTTGTTTTTCCTTCACTGTTCAATCTTGTTCAATCAAAGTTAACATTAACAACTGTTGAAAGGACTTCCAACATATGATGTTCCCATACTGAACAATGACACAATGTTATGCTATGCTGGACATTAGGTAAAGAGTAGTACTTCCTTACACGGTTTTAACATGGTATAGTGCTAAAGATGGCTAGCTTTTGTAGCTTCATTTTTGTAAATACGGTTACAGGGATAGGTGATCAAACAGGCAATGATGTAAAGCAGCAATACATTGATTAATCTGAGCTTTGACGTCCAATGAAGTGTCACCCATGCCACATATCTATCCCACAATGTGTACCCTGAAGGACTATTCCTGGCTGCCACAGTTTGAGCTTGTGCACAGCTAGGCTTTATATCCAATGCTGGAGGTGGGAATCCCACTAGGTCCAATCAGTGACGAGTACTTATGTTGCAAACGCACAAGTGCACGCTGTAGGGGTGTGGAGCATACATAATGAGGTGAGCAGTGGCGAATTATGACATAACTCACCGGAACTTCCTGAAATTAACATTAAACCAATTTTTTGATAAAATTCAGCGCCATGTCAACCAGAGCTTGGACCTCTGGATTACTAGCTGTGAATCCATCCACCACTGCCTCCCTGAGTTTCTGGTATTTAATTGCCAGATTTTATATTTGCCCATACCTGGGGAATTAGCATGGGGAATTAACTGAAACAATAGTGCCTATTTGACCCAAGTAGAAAAAAAGATGATATGTCAGCTACAAGCACACTTGAAATGTGATAGACCTTTTATGGTTAACTATATACTTTATGCAAGATAAATATAATAGACTGTGTTTGCTCAGGTGAAATGCTCTTGTGTATGTTATAGAACCCATTGTGTTTCATTAAGTATAATGTTTTGTGTACATTATATAACTCATTGTGTTTCATTACATATAATGCTTTTGTGTATATTGTATAACACACTATGGGCAAATGATCTGATGGGTGATAACTACTGTAATGATGCAAATTGGGTGAATATTGGATTCAAAAATTATTGAGTGAAGAGATTTGGCCCTGACTCTGTGTTTTTAACTTACAGCAGTGGTGGAATACAAATGACATTAAACTCAATGGAAAATGAAATTAAGCAAGGCATTTTACACACTGTCGGAAAGTAAAATCAGCTTTTCAGTGCTAATTCACATAAAGGTACAGAATTCATTTGAAACAGCAACTTCACAGAAGCAATTATTCCAGTAGCATCAGTTTGTCACTTTGACCACAAGGTGGAAGCATTGAGTTAAGTTCTACGTTGTTACATAAACATTCCACTGGCTGTTCTGGAGGCATATTAAAAGCTAGTATTTCTAGATTATTTCTTTCCATTTCAAATACTTCCTCTCCTTATTCTTCCTGAAGCTGACTACAAGTTAAAATGTAGTTTCTTGGCGGCTGCATGCCTTCCATTTTTCAGTGACCATTGTTCACGTGAAACTTTATAGTTCATGGACAATGATTCGCAGTTAACACGTTTATACCAAATAGGAGTGGCAGGATGTGGAACTTTGTTACTGCAAATTACATTTATACTAATATCCACAGCTGTAGTGATACCTGACCTTATTCTACATGTTCCTTAACTGTATTTATGTCATACAAGTATCCGTTCGCATAAAGGTATAGTCCTCTGATTTGAGTGAGATGATTGGTGGTGGTTTAACCTGAGGGTTACCACACTTCAGGTGAGGTGAGAGGTAGAGAAGGAGAGTCCCCTATGCTAATCTCAGCCATTGTGGGTATTGGACCTATGTTGTTGGTATCGCTCAGCATTGCAGAACAGCTAGACAGCCAACTGAGCTAACAAAGCCCCTAATATACTTGGATGAGACTTAAATCTGTAGTAAATGGTTCAGTAAGAGGCAGAACTGCCCCCTGTGCCACTAAAAATGTATTCCTTTATTCTGCCTCTGTTGTCATAGGTATATGATAGCCTTAAGTCAACTGAATGCACAATGTACAAATACTGTGTCATCGTCCTTCAGGTAATACCAGTACCCATGACAGCATTTGTCTCACGTTGAGTTATCATTTCACACTTGGTGAAAACCTTCTGCTGCTCTTAAGGCACAGACCAGCAAATGTCTCTGGTATTCAAATGTTTTCTGTTCAATCTTTGGAGTAGGAGGGACTTGAGCCGAAGCCTTTTGGATCAGAGATAGTGACACTCCTGCTGTACCACAAGTTTACATTATCCAACATATAGCACAGTTCAGTTGGTATCCTGTTGTGCAGCGCATTTCAGACCAGGTGCAACGCATTTCAGCCTGTGGGCTGTCCGAGATGTAAAATATCCTAACGTGCACTGCCTTGGATATTGTTCAGTGCAGTCTGCAGTTATTTTCTTCACCTAACTGTGTATAATCCGTTCACTATATTGCACCAAAACAGTGGTTTTGCTGTCTAAGGGTGAGATTCACTGAAGGACTGAATATTGAGTAAGAGATTCAGTAAATCACCAGAAACAGGAAATTAAAAAAATCTTCTATTGAAATGTTGAGCTTTTCTTGATGAAATGTTTTAGTATCCAGTGAAGTTTGAAATTCATGGGCTAAGAGTTAAATATTGCATTTTGTAATATTAAGGTTCAAATTGTAATAAACATTTCTCCATTTGACTGAAGTCCTCAGGAGTGTTGAAAGCTCTTCTATTTATTGAATCACTATAGTGCAGATAGAGACCATTCGGCCCATTGAGTCCACACTGACCCTCTGAAGAGCATCCGACCCAGACCCACCCTTCTACACTATCCCTGTAAGCCTTCACTTAGGTAAAAAGAGAAGTGTCAGACATCCTGTTCACTCTGACTTGGTGACTGGCCTCTGTAGAGTTTTTTCACTTCTCACTTAAACACACACAGCTACCCATCCCCTTAGTCTTTAGACCATGTAGGTCTCAGAATGGTAAATGTACGCATTGTTGTTGACTGTTCTTCTTCTATCTGCTCATTCCTAGGATGGTGATCCTTCTCTGGGGAGTGATTTCCCTATGGCGAATGCTGTTCCCATTATTTCTGTTGCTGAGAAACAGTAACCTCTGGGACTGATGATCATTCTGTACTCTGTTAAGGTGATGGATCATATCTTTCTGATCAGTGACCTGCCATGAGGGTGTAGTTTTGCTACTTGCATGCAGATGTCCTGTAGTTACGATGACATATCTGGTTATTCATGTTCACTGCGTACAATCAAGCTGACAGCTACTCAACACAGGGCCAAGTTGCCAAATGGGGTGACTCTTGTTGAGAGCATTGAACCTTGAAACTCTGAATTGATCCTCAATGTTCAGCTCTGGCAATGATTTGGCACCTTTATCAAAATGAAATTTGGCTTTCTGTTATTTAACTTGAGTTTGTCACTCCCACCAGCTACCATTTCTATCTTCAGTGTTTTTTTTGGCTAATGGAAGAGTAGTTTGGGTGTGGTGTGACATTAGTTTTTGGACTGGACTACTTTCCATGTTTCCATAGCTGTGTTTCTCCACTTGAAGATTGGCCTGTACAATTCTTGACACAATTTGTTCAATTTTGTCATGATCCCTTTGGTGATTTTTATTGCCACTTGGCTGAGGATAGTGCACATGTGACATGTGTGGTTGAATTTCCCAATCCTTCATGAAGCAGCTGAATTCTTCACTTGTAATTTCAGGACCACAGTCATTCCACAATGTCTGGAATGTCATGCTAAGTGAAGTTTTCATACATCCTACACTCTCATTGTTGTCAGCTGATCTAGTAGTCAATATGGTAGTTGACTATGACAGGATAATCAGTTCCTAAAGGCATGAAGAGGTCAACTCTATGTTTCATTCATGTTCTGCATTATGGGTGATTCTTTAGCTTGCTTCACTTAGTATTCATTATAACTACTGCACTGGCTGATGTGGTCCTTAATTTCATTGCCCTTGTTTGGCCACTAGAGTAGTTCTCTTGCCTTCCAGTGCAATTCCTTGATATTTCGCTTAGATGTGCTTCAGCATCTTGATTCTACTTTCTTTGCACAAAATGCTATCGCAGACTATCACTTTATCTCTACACACCCAATAATCTCTCATAGCAACCAAAATATCCTTGATACTTTTAGGCCACTCCTTCATCATTACTTCCTGCAGAACAACATCTTGTTGCATTGTTCACTTGAATTGAGCAGGATGCTTGTCTGTCAGATTCATTGGGCTGAATCTTAACATCAGTTTTGTTGAGTTTCACAGAGGGCTTATTTCACTGTCTTTTACCTACTTTGTCTCATTAACCATCTACCTTGCTCGCATAGCATATCTCTTACCTGATTCTAGCCCCATCCAACCACTTGCTGTTCCCATAATAACTCGCTATTGTCAGGAAATCCAAGAATGGATTTATGGCATGGGGTTCCATCTTTAAGAGGTTGTTGTATACCTGAATAAGCACTGATAGTCTGGACCCTCCCTGCACGGTTCCTGATATTTACCCCTGACATGGCAGAGAAAGGAAATTCACACCCTGCTTTATTAGCAGCTTCCCAGAGGTCCTAGTGGATAGAGTGATTCAGAGGAGAGATGTCCACTCTTCCCAGGACCAGCAGTGGAGGTCATGACACCAGACCTGGTTTGGGGCTGCCACCTGGGCCAGTGCAGTCTCAGCTAACTGGAAGAATGCACATCCAGTGTAGGAGAAAGTTGAATCACCTTCTCCACTTCGGCAGTGTAAATGCTACCGTCTTCTGTCTGATACCTTACGTTCACTTCATCTCTGCTATGGTACCCTCCTGGCATCTCATGCTCTGCCACCCTCACTATTGCTTGCAACATCTTCCACTGTCACTCACCTAGACACCACTGATTCTGTGAGCCATCTATGCTGTCTACTTACTCACTTGCACCAAAACTAATAGCTCTGTCACCCACATTCATCTCCCTTAATACCTACCTCTCTATCACTCCAGGGGGAAAACAGCCTGAAATAAGGCAAAATGAATCAAGACGGTTGGTGGGGTGCACTGGATTGATTCCAGAGGTGAGAAATTTGTCTATGAAGAGAGAGATTGAACAGTTTAGGCTTATACTCTTTCGAGTTTAGAAGAATAAGAGGAGATCTAATTGAGGTATGTAAGATGTCAAAGGGGATTAACAAAGTAGACGTAGAGAGGATGTTTCCTCTTGTGGAACAATCTAGACTGAGAGTCCTAGTTTTAGGATTAGGGTAGCAGATTTAAAACAGAGGTGAGGAGAAATTTACTTCTCTCTGTGGAATCAATCTGTGGAATTTGCTCCCCCGGAAAACAGTGGATACCATGACATTGAGTCAATTTAAGGAGAAGATAGACATATTTTTAATTAGTAGTGGGGTAAAGGGTTATGGAAAGTGGAGGGGAAAGTGGAATTGAGGCTGAAATGAGATCAGCCACGGTAGTATTAAATGGTGGAGCAGTCTCTAGGGACTGAATTACCTACTCCTGTTCCTAGTCCTTATGTTAAATTTCAGCAATTAAAGAAGAAAAAAATCATGCCAGGAATGAAGGAGTTACCTTGCTGAACATGCTTTTAAAGCTTGAGCCATTGCTAATAACAGAGAAAGAACAGAATGTTCACAAAATAATTGAACACTGTCTGTGTGCCTGAAGTGTAGCTCCACCATGGAGAACAGTCTGCTTTATTGTTGAGTCAGGTTACTGTGATCCTCAGTCAGAACCTATTATACTTTTCTCTTTTAATCACTTGAAAGACTAGTATTTTCATTCAACATGCTGAGAAATGTCTGAAAGTGTTTGAAGGCAAGATTACAAGGTGTTGAATCTTCTTCACAAAGGGGAGCTGTACAAGCTTTGTATTACCTGAGCAAACAAACACATTAGTTGGACATTTCGCTGAATGGTGATTTAAGAGAAAGCCTGTCCTAAATTCTCATGCAAATTGAAAGCACCTTTTACCACATGAAACAGAAATGTACTCTATGTGGAATGGTGGAGGTAGAATAAGCTAATTGAATGATTTTATCTTCACAGGAATATCTGCAAAATGGTTCAATATTGCATTTATATACCTAAACCAACCAAGATAACATTTTGGATGAAAAGAGTTTTTGCTTCTTCTTTCCAATCTTGCAAGTATTATTAGAATAAAATTTGATATCCTCTTGAGCAATTCTCTGAAACTAACTTTGATGAAATCAAGATTCATCTCATAGTCTTCTAGACAAGATTCACACTGTAACAGCTTCAATGTACATTTAGTTTGAATCCAGCCTGATTTAACTTCAGATAGAAGCAATTTCATCCCACTTCACTTTGCAGTCAATACAGGCCTTCTCAGCTAATCTGTAACCACGCACTGGACCAAAACATTCATTTTTGCTTCAAGTTGATGCTTAGGGTGTGAAATATAAATGCAATCTAAAGTAAATTTATTCCTCAGTTCAGGGTCAATATGAATTCTAGCATTGTAGCCCACTCGATCTGGTTAGCAAGGATTGTGGAGTCAGAGCAAGAGCATGCAGCCAATGGTGGACATCAAAAAGAATGGTAAAAGGTAAAGTTGGCATCGTCTTACCAGACAATAGGGTCACCTCTCTCTTTACAGAGAGACAGCTGGTGGTGATTTAACCTGAGGCTCACCATGCTTTAAGTGAGGGGAGAGATTGAGAAGAAGAGTCCTTCATGGTGATCTCAACTGGCATGGGAATTGAACCCAACCTATTGGCATCACTCCGCATCACAAACTGGCCATCCAACCGACTGAGCTAAACCCCACACCCACACCCCCAAAAAGAATGACTTTAATTTTCCTGAACCCCCAAATTCATCCAGGAATTAGTAAGAAGAGCTGCAAGGTTTCATTCACCTGTTTACACGTGGCAAATGATGGCTAATACAGAAAAGTGTAAGGTGATGCACTTTAGCTGAAGGGTTAGGGAGATGAATTATATACACAAAGGCACAATTCTGAAGAGTGTGCAGAGACGGAGTGATCTGGGAGTTCAGAATTGATCTTTGAAGGATTCTTGATATACTGAGAGAGTGCTTAGCAAAGCATTTGGGATCTTGGACTTCATAAATAAAAAATTTTGAGTACAGAAGCAGGGAAGATATGCTGAACCATTATAAAGCTGGAGTTAAGCCACAACTAGAGGAATGCAGTCAGTTCAGTTACTACACTTTAGAAGGAGGATCTTTGAGACTATGTAAAGGGGATTTAGCAGAATGGATTCAAGGATGAGGTATTTTAACTATAAAGTTAGTTTGGAGGAGATAGGGTTATCTTCCTTGGAGGAAGAAGGTTGAGGGGAGATCTGAGAGAGAGCTGTACAAGATTATTATAGATTTGGAAAAGGAGGATGAAAAGAAAGATTTTTATTAGCTGATGAAGAACCAGACTAAAGGTTTTAAATATGAAGATGTGAAGAGACACGAAGGGAATGTGAATAAGAACTGTTTCATACTTGGAACTTGCTGCCTACAAACATGGTTGAAGTAGAGATCATCACTGGTTAAAAAGGAAATTGAACAGGCATTTGAGGGAAATATGTTTGAAGGTGACAGGGATAAAATGAGGGGATGGAATAAACTGATTTCTCTACACAGGATTATGAATTCATAGGGGCAAATCATCTAATTATGTACCATAATGATTGATTGCATGGAAATTGACCTCACGCTTACAAATGCACTTTCTGAAAGGTAGATTTTAAATTGTGAATGTGGAATTCCAGATTGGAAATGACCATATAATACTACGCAAGGATACTTGGGAGAGTTGAAGAAAAGATAAATATTTGGATAGTCAGAGAAGCAGCAGTCAACACACTTATGAGACTACACGAGCAAAGACTAGTTACCAAATTAACACTAAGGACAGTTTATGTAAGAGGGTGTGTTGGGAATGGATTAACTGGAATATAACTTGTTTTGGTGCTGTTCCTGGAGTATAATGTTGTGTCTGCCTAACATTAATGCCACATGTTTGACAGATGTTCCATATTCTATTTTGTAAAGGATCTCGTTTCACTCATTTTATCTGTGGAGGGAAGGTTCTGCACATCTCGGTGTGTAAACACACCAAATCATCAGCCCTATTCTCAAACAGATGGTTAACAGCTTATAAAAGGGGCTGAACAATCATTTCGCAGGAGTTCTTTCCATACTTTTACTAGTCTACAAGTCCAAACAAAATAAAACTTCTACGGTCTAGTCTCTCTTGACTATTGTCAATTTTGTTAAACGTGGATCCTCTCTCGATAACAAGACTTCCCTTCTCAGAAAGTGTTTTACCTGACTGCTCACTGTGGTGTCTCCCATCTGGTCCACAGCAAAGTCCCAAGCCATAGAATTCACAGAAGAGAGATTTTCACCAGAAGCCACTCGTTGAGTTTGCTTCCTGTTAATGTCCATCTGTCACACGCAGAAATAGACAGCTACTCTTCATAATATTGCTTTAACCCTTTCCCTTGACTTCCTAGTAACTGAAAATCTAAATTCATCATTCAGATTATCTTCAGAGGCTCCCGCTTCAGTACACTGCTTTAATACACTGGAGCTCAGACTGGTAGAGATTAATGTTCCATTACCTGTGCTGCATTAACTGATTTTAGTTGGTTGATGTTTTGTGATATTGGATTAATGCTTGGGTTTTTTGTATGATTAGGGGAAGAAAAACAATCAGAATTTTTCTTCATTATTACCATTCTGTGACATCTCCTGATAATTGAGTGGCAACAAAATCAGACACAGATGAATTGTCATCGGTCAAATAAGGAACATGAGTGTTTCTGTTGTCTATGCAACCACACCCATCGAATATGACTAGCCCTCTTTTCCTACAAAGGAGGGAAGGGTAAAAGGGGACTGAAAGTTGCAAATCTGAAATGAAAAGCTTTCACTTGTATTTCTTTTATATGAATACAGTGTTTAATTTTGGTCATCATACCATCAGAATTGCAGACAGAAAAGAATATCAAAATTGTCTCTGGCACAAAGTGATTGGGCAATGAAGAAATGTTCGAGAAAATCAAACTTTATAAATTGTGAAGAACTAGTTTAAAGGAAGAATCTCATAAAGGTACATAACATTTTAAATTATATGGATAAAGTAACCCAAGTTATTACTTCAAATTATGTAAAGCTAGATGGGACAACAGAAATGTAATGCAGGATATATGAATTAAATACATCTCCAAGTTAGCAACATAGCAATGCAGGGTACGTCAATGCCACAATGTTCTTGTTCTCATAAAATAAATTCACTTTTGATTAACTGTGAGCACTGTCATTGTTCCAAAAACACTCCTGCAACACACAAAGAGTTGACACCTTCCAGAACAAAGCAGCTTGGTACCACACCCACAAACATTCATTCCCTGCACCAGTAGCAGCAAAGAAGCTCTGCAGAATTCATCAGGGGTCATTAGACAGCATCTGCCAAACTCATAACTACTGCTATCTATAAGGACAAGGCAGCAGATACATCAGAACACCACCACCTGCAAGGTCACCCTCAAGCCACCCACTACCCTAACATGGAAATATACAGTCATTCTTCCAGAGATAGTAGGAACTGCAGATGCTGGAGAATCTGAGATAACAAGGTGTAGGGCTGGATGAACACAGCAGGCCAAGCAGCATCAGAGGAGCAGGAAGGCTGACGTTTCGGGCCTAGACCCTTCTTCAGAAAACTTGGTTTGCTAGAAAATGAAAGAACCAGTTGTCAAGGTTTTCGTAAGTGAAAGAAAGAGGAGATTTTTACCTTGCTAGCTCCAAAAAAATCACAACATCAAACATACATAGACAAATACAGGCAGAAAGTTTAAAACGGAGAGTATCTGGTAGAGATACAGAGAATAAGGGTTAAGGGAATAAGACCCTTCCCCTCCCCCATTTCTGAAGAAGGGTCTAGGCCCGAAACGTCAGCCTTCCTGCTCCTCTGATGCTGCTTGGCCTGCTGTGTTCATCCAGCTCTACACCTTGTTATCTACAGTCATTCCTTCACTGCCATTGGGACAAAATCCTGGAGCTCTCTCCCTTACGCCTTTGTGGAAGTATCTACAACACTTGGATTACAGCAGTTCAAGAAGGCACCTCAAGGGCACCTAGGCTTGGACAGTAAGTGTTAGCACAAGCAGCATCAATCTCATCAGGTAAATGAATGAGAAAAAGTTACGAAAGTAGTAAATAAGGGAAATCAAATGGTTTTTAAAAAGGAAGACACATGGACCTAAAATGGATGCAGTGATCACCTGACCATAGATTGAAGAAAGCTTCTTGAGAATCTGTGTTGAAACTAGCATTTTTACCTAAAGATATCAAAGCCAGATAACTCTATCAGCATAAAGAAATTCATTTCTCCTGTTTAATTCATATGTGTTTGATAATTTCATATATTGGGAGATTAAAGGTTCAGTTGCCAGTTAGCCAACTTCAAGTGAAATGAAGCTAAACTCCAGAACACTCACAGACCTGCATTCCCTTAGCTGCTTTTGAGCAGTATAGCAACAGT